TCTTACCTTTTCTGTGATTCCCTGTCCCTTCCCTAAATCAGATAAACCTATATACAAGACAAAGAGTTGGTTTTCTCTTCCACATAAAGCCACCCAGGATTCAGTCTTGGGTCTCTACCCTTAACAACATTATCTAATCCTAATCACCTTCTAAGTGCCCCACCTTTCAGCAACATAATTGGATTTTCTATCCACTTAGTACCTCACAAGGGATATTGCAGATTGAGTTTTAACACATAAAAACTTGGAGACCATGCTTTTTTTTAGCAATACCCAAACCTTAGCAATTCTCTAGTGGATTTTGGCTTTTTAAAAAAGCAGTATATCTTTCCAGTCATTTCCCACATCAGTATATGTAATGCCTTGATTTTTTTAATTATAAGTGATATTATGTGTATATACATGATTTATTAAGCCAGACCTACAGTGATACACATTCAGATCATGTGTAGTATATTTTGCTGTTATGAACAGTGCTTTTATGAGTAGTTGTATTGAAAAGATATTTCCTGGGCTGGGATATAGTGCAGTGCTGAAGTGCTGGTTTAGCATTCAGAATGCACTTAACATTGCAGAAATAAATAAGTCTACATGTTCAGTTTATATTATTTTTTTCTGAATATATTGCATCCCCAGTTGCTTGAAGCCAGGGACCTAGAACCCACAGCTGTGAGCCTGGGGATGGAGAGCAGGTTCTACTCAGTTAGCCTCCTTCCTGCCTGGGTTTGCATTGGTTGACCCTCCACTAGTCATGCCTGAACATGAATATACCCAGTTTTCCCAAGATCAGCAAAATACAAAATCAAACTTTACCTTGGTCTGCTGCAATAGAAGCGAAATAAATAGTAGCCTGTAGGAAATTGAATTTGCATATGGAGGGAGGAATTCTGTAGAAGGAAAGGAACAGCAAGTCACCCGTGTCCCTTCCGCCAGTCTGAGCGGCACCTCTGAGGGACTTAGTAAAAGGCCTGCTGGGAAACTGTTGTGATATATACACAAATGTGTGACAAGTTTGCACCCAGGAGTGATACCAAAGCCAGCCTGTCCCACGGGGAAACGTCCCTTTTGAGAGCACTCGGCTCTGCAGCTGGCTCAGAATCCATGCACTACAAGTTCAGGCACGATCAAAAATTGAAGGTGTTTGACAACAATATACAGGGCCATTCACTTGAGGTACAGCCGGAACAAATGGAAACTTCATTATCTGTGGACTACATACTTGGAACTCAGGTCCCAGGCAACTCTGATATTAGTAAGTTGGCTAGCAGGCTCATTAAGCACCGAAGGAAAGTGAACCTAGTTAATGAATTAATACAAGATGACATTTTACAGAGAGAGAGAGAGAGAGAAAGAGAGAGAGAAAGGGCAGGCTCCACTGAATTATACAACATCATAATTCTCCAGCAAATGTGATCGTCTCTTTCTTCTCTCCTGCCAGAGTGGGCAGGTCTGGAGAGAGCCTGCTTTCAGAGTTTAAGTGACATCATTAAGATCTGTGAGCTGTTTACTTTCCATTTGCTTTAAAGGCTCCCACTTGTATTCATACCGCAGATGATTGAACCCAAGTCAGTGGTTTAGGGTCTCTGCACTCCATGTCAAAGCCCACCCACCTCACACTCCAAAAAGAAGGTTCTCAGCACTTCTACCACTGGTCCAGAGACGCTATTAAGGAGAGTACTAAGAATGTGAATGCTAAGAACTCACTAATGAGACCCGATGACAAATTCGGACCTTCCTGAGGCTGCCAGGTATGTCCTGCTGGCTGAGAAACCCATCACTTAAGAATTTTGAGAGCGAGCCAGGTGCTGGTGACTCATGCCTATAATCCTTGCTACTCAGCAGGCTGAGATCTGAGGATTATGATTAACCACTAGAAAACCAGAAGTGGTGCTGTTGTTGCAAAGTGGTAGAGTGCTAGCCTTGAACAAAAGAGCTCAGGGACAATGCCTAGGCCTGGAGTTCAAATCCTACAACCACCACCAACAACAAAATTTTTTTGAGAGTGACTCATAAGCCCTTGTGGATTGGAGGATATTGGTAGCCAGTAGAGGTATGTCTGGATTCCTCACCCCAAGACCTCTTGGGAAATATCTAGTAGGCTTTGTTGTGGGGTTCCCAGGGCAGAGCATTAGGGACAAGGCTCAGCTCAAACAGTCTCCTCACTTCCAACCCCACATGACCTGGGTCCAGGGACTCAACCTCCCCATGCTTCCCTACCTTCATCTCAAAAAGAATGCCCACTTCATAAAGTTGTTATGAGGCACGGAGGGGCGGTAAAGCACACACTTGGGAGTATTAAACACACACTTGAATGTATCGCGCAGTGTCGGCGGCTGTTCTAAATGCTTATTGATTGCTGATTTATTTTATAGTCCAGAAGCATTGCTGTCTCCATTTTGTAGCCAGAAGGCAGGCAGCGCTGTCCTTACGGGGCTGGGTTGGAACCCAGGCTGACTCCAAAGTCCCCGCTGGCCTGTGCTGGGCCGGTGCTCTATCTCGAAAGCTCAATACTGCCTTACTTCACAGTTACAGCAAGTTCTCCGTGCCCCTAACTGCCTTCCTCGTGTGTGTTATACTCTGTATTGCCAGCGGAAAATGATCTCCACCACAAGACCTCTCCTATTCCCCGGATGTTAATTATGCTTTCCAGGGCTGACTTTTTAAACAACTCTATTGAGGTCTCATTTACATAACATAAAAGTCACCCAGCTTAAGAATACAGGCAATGATTTTTAGTGAATTTTCCATAATCCAGTTTTTAGAACATTCTCATCATCTCAGAAAGATCCCTCATACCTAGTTATCATTAATCCTTATACTCAAGCACTCAACCACTGTTCTTCCTGTCCCTGTAACTTTGCCTTTCCTGGGCATTCCATATAAGCAGAATCATATAATATGGGATCTTTGGAGCCTGGTTTATTTTACTGCATAAGGGACTTGATGTGCTCAACTATATTTTATTACACTTTGGGGTGATACACAGTAATCCAGCCTGATCTCACAGTTTTGGCCAAGCTCTTCCAAATAATAAATAAATAAATAAATGTATGCTTCAAGCCAAGTGGCAGTGGTACAAGCTTGTAATTTTAGTTACTAAGGAGGCTGAGATGCTGAGGACCAAGGTCTGAAGCTAGCCTAAGCAGACGAATCTAATAAGTGAGTGCACAACACCCTAAGTTCTAGTCCCATTACTGGCACACACGCACACACACACAAAAGAAAAGAAAGATACACACACACACACAGAGACATATACACATGAAGGAAAGACAGAAAGAGAAAGACAGGGAAAGGAAAAAAAGGAAGGAAGAAGGAAGGAAGGAAGGAAAAAAATTAATTTCCACACATCTGTTACATGGCTAAGGGCACGTATCTGTTATAGGCAGCCTTCAGTCTATCCTGAGTTATCATCAGTTGTATTTCAATTGTCATTGATCTGCTGAGTGTTTCCTTGTTCTTCCTTCTGTGAAAATATGCCTACCTTTGCAAATGATGGCCAGAAAGCAAGGAAAAAAATTACAGTATTCTTCCCAAGCCCCAAAGGGTACCCAATATATGTATTTGATATGATAGAGGGAAGCTTTGGGATTTGCTGAAAGGTGATGGCAGAAATTGGGTGGCATTGTGGGGAAAATGAATCACACATGCACTGGACAGTGCTGAGCTCTGCATCCTGAGCATGCCCAGTTCTTCCTCTGTGGAGAAGTCTCTGGAACCCCTCAACCATTGATACCTGCAGTCTACTGAAGATCTGGGTGTGGTGAACTCACCACTTGTTGTATATCTATTCTGTAGGCAGTAGACAGCTGGTGGTTCTACATTCTGACTGTTATGCATAGCACTGTCTCCCACATTTGCATGCAAGTTTTAGAGCTGATTTCAAAGGTGAAGGGTGCAAGGAAATGGATGGATCTAAAACAAATCACGTTAAGTGAGATAAGCCAAGCTCAGAGACACAAACAGCATGTTTTCTCTTATGCAGAAACTAAAGCTAAAAAAACTGGGGAGCTGAGCCCCAGTGGCTCATGCCTGTAATCCTAGCTACTCGGAGGCTCAGAGGTGAGGATGGTAGTTAAAGCCAGCCCAGGCAGTAAAGTCCATGGGACTCTTATCTCTAATGAACCACCTGAAAACTGGAGGTGGTCTGTGGCTCAAAGTGGTAGAGCACTAGCCTTGAACAAAAGATCTCAGGCACAACCCCAAGCCCTGAGTTCAAGGCCTACAAGTGACACACACACACGCACACACACAAATTAAAAATACACTGGGACACGATAAATTATACAGGACTCTCGGTATTCACACATAGTGAGACCAAAGGAGATACTCTTAGGAGAGGAACACAAAGCCACAAGGCCTATGTGTATCTGATCATATAAAGTAATATTTATCTAAATGAATTCCAGGAAATGGAAACAAATGTTTTTTTTTCCTCTTGGTTGTTCTTTTTATTTTCTTTTTTTCTTACTTGTTCATTTATTTGTCTTTGGGAAGGGAAGAGGAGGCACAGAATTGAAGGGACAAAGGGTGAACAAATGCAGCAGTGCTACTCACTAGATGCTATGTTGAAAATGAACTTACAACTAGGAGGTGGGGATGGGAGGGACAAACTGGGGAGAGTGAGGGAAGGGGTGACATTGTCCAGAAAGAAATGCACTCATTACCTGACCTATGTAACTCTAACCCTCTGTACATCACCTTTATAATAACATTTTTTTAATTTAAAGTAAAAAAGAAAAAAGGGTGGGGAAGGTGGCTTAGTGGTAGAGTACTTGCCTAGCATGCATGAAGTTCTGGATCCGATTCCTCAGTACCACATAAGCAGAAGTCAGAAGTGGCGCTGTGGTAGAGGGCTAGCTTTAAGCAAAAAGAAGCTAAGGGACAATGCCCAGGATCTGAGTTCAAGCCCCAGGACTGGGGGGCGGGGGTGGAAAACAGTGAAGGAGGGCTGACTTGTAACCCTCTCTTCTTCATCTCTCCTCTCTGGGGTTGCTCAGAACCAGGCAGTGGACAGGTGTTTGTGACCTCCGAGAACCAGCTGGTATACTACCCCAGCATCACCTACGCCATCATCGGCAGCTCTGTCATCTTTGTGTTGGTGGTGGCCCTGCTGGCACTCGTCTTGCATCACCAGCGGAAGCGGAACAATCTCATGACGCTGCCTGTGCACCGGCTGCAGCACCCCGTGCTGCTGTCCCGCCTGGTGGTCCTGGACCACCCCCACCACTGCAACGTCACCTACAATGTCAACAATGGCGTCCAGTATGTAGCCACCCAGGCTGAACAGAATGCCTCCGAAGTAGGCTCCCCGCCTTCCTACTCACAGGCCCTGCTGGACCAAAGGTAAGTGAGGATAGATAGAAGAGGAGGACAGGGGCTAACAGAGGAAGGACCTGGCTGTCCTAGCTTTTACCTTGTGCCTGGCACAACAACAATTGACATTTGCCAGATCCTTGCAGAATTCTCCCAGCTGTCATCCCATTTCGTTTTCTCAACACCTCATTAACACTGGACATTGATACCTCATGCCTGTAATACTAGCTACTCAGGGGGCTGAAATCTGAGGATTGCAGTTCAAAGCCAGCCTAGGCAAGAGAAGTCTATGAAACTCTTATCTCCAATTAACCAGCAAAAAGTCATCAGTGGTGCTGTGGCTCAAGTGGCAGAATGCTAGGGAAAGCTCAGGGACAGCGCCTAGGCCCTGAGTTCAAATTCCAGAACTGGCAGAAAAAAGAGGGGGAGGAAGGGAGGGAGGGAGGGAGGGAAGGAGAGAGGGAGGGAGGGAAGGAGAGAGGGAGGGAGGGTAAATTCACTGAGGGAGGTTCTAGATCTGTCTGGGTGAACAGAAGAGGAAATCCAGACCCTCGGCTTTTAAGTTAACGTGTCTGAGGACATGGAATATGATCCCAGATGCCTTGGAGCCCTGCTGCTCCTTGGTTAATCCACAGTGGCTCATGTTAAACTTCCTACCAGTTCTGGGTCTCACTTGCTACCACAGATTGGCTCCCCGCACCTCTCAAAGGTTTGGTTAATGTTTTTTGACTGGATGAGAAAATAAATGAGTCCCCTAACTTTGCTTGACTTCATCTAAAAGATGGATGAAACTCTTAAGCAATGGAATTCTTATGAGAATGGCAGCCTATAAGAAACCTCAAGGCAGAGAGTTCTGTAGATGAAATGACAAAAGGAGTTAAATGGTGCCTCTGCAGCCTTCCCTTCTCTCCTTTGATGACCCCCAAGATAATCCAATGATCCACCTTTCTCTTTTCCATACTTTTCCTGGTGAGTGAGTGAGTGTGTGTGTGTGTGTGTGTGTGTGCTGGTCCTTGAGCTTGAACTCAGAGGCTGGGCACTGTCTCTGACTTGCACACACGTGTGTACTAGTCCTGAGGCTTGAATTCAGGATCTGGATACTCTCCCTGAGCTTTCTTGCTTAAGGCTAACACTCTACCACTTGAGCCACAGCTCATTTCCACTTTCAGTGGCTAATTAGAAATAGGAGTCTCACAGACATCCCTGCCTGGTTTGGCTTTGAACTGTAGTCCTCAGATCTGAGCCTCGTGAGTAGCTGGGATTCTAGACATAAGCCACCAGAGCCCATCTCTATACTTTTCTTTAACATGTTGTGTGTGTGTGTGTGTGTGTGTGTGTGTGTGTTTATGTATGGGTGTAAAACCTAAGGCCTTACACATACTTGATAAGTGCATGTTCTTCCACGGAGTTATCTCACTAGCATTCCCTCCCCCACCCCTGCCGCCATAGCCCATTTTAGAAACCCGTGGACTACAAGTGTCTGGGCCCTTCTGAGTCTACTGTTCCCATATCCTGCCCTTCAGAACTCTCCCATGCAGCCTTCTACCTCGGAGACCTGAGGTGCATTGTGTATTGCATCAGGAATCATACACCAGGGTGGCTAGACACCTTCCTGGACCCTTTCCAGTGGCAACTCTTCCTGTCCTCACAGAAGACAGATAAAGCTTCCGGGGCCCAGGGGGAAGAGCTAAAACCAAAATATCTTTTCTGTTGAAACTATTTTCTTTCCAGCAAAGTACATGTAAAGAGATGGGGTATCAAAAGGGTATTCTGTCACCCAAGTCCACAGGAAGTGCTGGATTTAATAAGAACTCCCAACTTCTGTAGCCCCGTCAAAGGCTCTCTCAAGATGCAGCCCAGCCTCTTTGCCACAGGACATTGAGCTAAGAGAGCAAAGCACCTCTCACCTAACCTGACCCGGGGTGTTGTCTGGATACATTATTCCAAGGATGTGGATTTGGCACTGACCAGGGTACAGGAGCAAGCCAGCCTACCCTGATCCTTCTGTTCTGTCTTGTTCCAGACCACTGGCTGTTCTGGTCTTTGTACTTGGAGGGAAGATCTCATATCTCACTAGAAGCATCAGCTCAGGAACAGGCTGATGTTGGAGCTAGGCCCAAGTCTCCAGCATGTCTGACTCTAATGTATCTTCTTCCCTCCATCCCATCCTTGCCTCTCTCCCTCTACTGCCTCCCCCTTTTTCTCTTTTGCAGACCTGCATGGTATGACCTTCCTCCACCACCCTACTCTTCGGACACTGAGTCTCTGAACCAAGCCAACCTGCCTCCTTATCGTTCTCGGTCGGGAAGTGTCAACAGTGCCAGCTCCCAAGCAGCCAGTAGCCTCCTGAGTGTGGAAGACACTGACCAAAGCCCAGGGCAGCCTGGTCCTCCAGGGGGCACTGCTGAGTCCAGGGACTCTGTGTCCAGGGAGGGCACCGAAGAAGTATAAAATTCAGCTATTCCAAAGTCCATTATGGGTTAGTCTGCTCCAACTTGTTCCAGTCTAACAACGTGTGATCGTGGGAAGCTCTCTTAAGTTCCTTCAAGGATATCTCAAGATTTGGGGCAGCATCTGCCTCTCTCCCCTCAGATCTGAGCACGTTTCATTGGAGGAGAACCTGAACCTGACATTTTTCCAGCCACTCAGTTGACAAAATGCATTGTCATCTTTTCTATAGAAAGAAGTCCTTCTTCCTTCAGGCCTTAAACATCACAAGCTTACAATTCCTGTAATTCTGTAACTGTTGGAACCTCTCTTGTGTATAAGTGGCAAGTTTGAAGTGGTTTTTAAGTAGTCTTTGGGGAAAACAGCATTTCTACGGGGTCGGGGAGTTCAGGAGGGACAAGGACATAGGATCAAGTTCTCTTCTAGACTGTGACCTTTCAGGTTCATTTGGATATTGGGGCTGGATGATCCCACCAGGAGCCCATCATTGAATGGAGGCAGTGGCCAAACACAACTTTAGACATGAACTATCAACAGTGACATTTTGGTTTCTTGAAGTATCAGAAACCCTCTTCCCTGGATAGAAGAAAATTGGCCCTAGAGATTAGTCTTAGATTCCTCCATTTGAGGGCTTTCTCTGGCAGTGTAGATCATACAACTCCCATCTCAACCCAGACAAGAGTCCCTGTCATGAGTTCTTAGCTCCTAACCTGCATCCTGCCAGAGCCTGAGCCTGCCTTGGCCCCACAGTTCCTTCTCCAACTTCTGAACCGGTATCTTCTCAACTGGCCTGCGGTGGCCAAGGGTTGAGCCAATTTGAGTGAGCCAAAAGGTGACCTGCCCTTTGTCCAGTAAACCATAGTTGTGGCCGTATCTTGCTCATCCATGCAGCTTCCATGTGAGGTTTTTAAGTTCCTTTAACACCTGAGAGTCTTGTTTTATCTGTGCACTAGAACTTGAGCATACTTGTTTCTAACATGTTAGAGCCAAATTCAGTACTGCATATACTCTTCTTCCCAGGGCCCTAAGACTAGCACCTCAAGTCAAGGTGAGAATTAGGTCATGCCTCTCCTAATACTCCAGCAGAGTTTCTCCTCTGAGAGACATGGGCAGTAGACGATTTGGAGTCAAGATTTTCCATTTGGATTTTTTTTTAATCCCTTAGAAATGCATTTTAAAACAGTGTGTTTGGGTTTTTTTTTCCCCGTTCTAGTTAAGGGACTATTTATATGTGTATAGGAAAGCTGTCATTCTTTTTTTGTTGTTGTTTTAGTTTGGTTTTTCTTTTAATGTAGTCCAAGGAAAAATGCAAAAGGAGATCACACTTTCACCCCACCTGGTCCCTGGATGTCACCCTTGACTAACCCTACACCAGGCATTTGTGGTATTGCTGCATGTTTATTGAGTTCTTAATGCAGAAAGAGGGGTACATACTCCAGTTCTTAGTTTCTATTTATTCTAGTTTTCCTGGTTGGTAATGCCCCCAGCCAGCCACAGGACCCACCCATGAAAGATACATGGGTTAAAAAGGCAGGTACTAATACTGACTAACCTGGAACAAAACTGGAAACATGTGGAGCCTCTGAGTGGAGCTCTCACCTGTTCAAGGTTCTTTCCACAGCAGAACAAATGCTGAAGAAGACAGTCTGAAGATCAGGCGTCAGTGGCTCATGCCTGGAATCCTAGCTACTTGGGAAGCTGATTGCTGAGGATCATGGTTCAAAGACAGCCCAGACAGACAAATCCTTGAGATATTTATGTCCAGTTAACCACCCAAAAAAAGCTAAAAGTGGAGCTGTGGTTCAGTTGATAGAGCACCATCCTGTTGTATAGATTTTTTTTTCCTCTTTTAACCAATACACAGTATCTACAGGAAAACCAGCCATTGAGGGTTTTGTTTTTTTGTTGTTGTTTTTGTTTTTTGTTTTAAGTAAAGGAATCTAGGTGTGTGTCTTTCATTTTTAAAGTAGTGCTTGAGTTGTTTTCTGAGTAGTCCAGCCAAGATCTTGGATGGCAGAGAGAATGCCTGGCCACTCATCTCATTCTGCTTCTTTCTGGTGCTTTAAAAGTTGTTGAGAGGAAAGGATTCTAATTTTAATCAAGCATACCAGTGAGTTAATCTCACCTGCTTTTCCGCTTCAGGCATCTTAGGAAAAACAAATGGTTTTAGAAGATAAGGAGAGCCTACTAATGATTTAAAAAACAAACAAACAGGAGGGCATTTTTATTATAGATTTGGTTTTTAATGGATTTTTTAAAATATATATATATATATATATTATATGATAGTAAAACCACAGGATTTAGGGGTTGTTCCTCCCCACCCCACCCCCCACTCTTAAGATGTCAGATAGGTGGTTAGCAATATTTTTGACTCATTCCAAGGAGGAAATAATCTCTGCCCTTTTTTCTCAAATGAGATCAGCATTTTATTTTAGCATTAAGATAGTCTCACCATGGTTGCTAACTTATCGCCCGACTCAACTCTCTCTACCATGAAATTGACATTTTTTTTAAAAATGCAACTCAGTGGTTAATAAATAGTGTGTGACGTTCAGAGTTAATGTAAACTGGAATGGTTGTGTGTGGTTGCTTTTTTGTTGTTTTGGCTAGGCTTGTTTTTTTTTAATTTTTATACTTTCAAATAAACTTGCAGTTTCATTCTTTCTATTGTCGTGAATGGTGCTTGACCTCCTTTCCTGCAGTACAGCAATAAAAAAAAAAAGTAAGTAATAGTTTCTGTCTTAGCTTCGGTGATAAATTTATGTCACAATAAAATTTAAAATGAAGGCTGTATTGATGGAGGCCTTAAAATATGAATGGTGATGAAGATCCTGCAGCCCATGAGACTGGAATGAACAGGTAAAGTGTGGGGATTAACTAATACGTATTATGGGCCCTGGAGATGTTGAAAGATAGATGTTAGCTAATGTTGCTATAGCAATGTTCCAGATAGGGGCAAGGGGCTGTAATAACGGTTACAGGCTCTTAGCACATAGCAGAAGGCAGACTATACATCCTACACTGATGTGCAGTAATTAGTTCCAAACCACAAGCAACCAGATTGATCCCACTAATGGGAGCATCTTTATATTCTTTGAAGTCTGACTTGAGATCCCTAAGTCAATGGATACTGAAGGATAGATGCCTAGGAAGTCAGGATGTACAGCAGGTTACCACTGTCACCCGTGGTAGGAGAAGTAATGACCTATAGAAGCAATAGTTCATGTGTTGATTGATAGCTCTCATAAGAAGATGGAGCTATCCAATAGGGATATCCAATTACTCAGAGCCTGAGGGTTTCCATAGTTAGACTTATCTTGGCTCCCACAGTTTCTTTGCTGTCTTCTGGATCATCACCCGTCCAGCTGACCAACCCAACTTGAATGGGTCAAAATTCTGACCTGCTCCTTTGTCCAATGAGCTACACCCAGCCTGTCTTGCTCTCTCATACAGCTTCAATGATAGGCTCCTAAGTTCCTTTAATACCTGTCTATTTTACCTGTATGTTTGGATTGAAAATGTAGATTAAATAGGTGTCTAAGAAGAGCCAAAGGAGGATTTTAATGATCAATAAACAAATGTTTAGGTTCATTTTTACATACTTAGTATACAGTTAGCCCTTTCTGATCAAATTCAGTGTCTGTGATCTATCTTCTGGATTGCATCTCTTCAGCCTAGTTTCAGAATCTCTAATGTTCAGCTCACTCAGGATAAAAGTCAATGTAGTAGTCAATCTACAGGACCTGATGGATGCCATCTGGCTCTCTCTGCCTAGCTAATCTCATCTGCTCTTATCTCACATACTTTGTTCTACAGGTCTTGGCCACTTGGCTTGCTCTGAAGCCCATCAATCATACACTTAGCCCAAAACTTGCATTATCTCTGATGGAGCAGCTATCTTTGGATATCTAGAATATTCTTTCCCATCAGGAGCCACTTAGAATCTTCATATTGATATCTTTAACACTTCAGCTGTGGCCTCACTGAGAATCCTGAAACGATACATGCCACTCAAAGATTTTGAGTGATTCCTAGATCAAAGCAATACGTGAAACTTTCGAACTCAGGTTCCCAAAGAAACTAGGAAGTGCAATTAGGAGGCATAGTATAGAAATAGTATTGAGACCAACATTAACATAATCTGTGAGCCAACTTAGTAAATACCTAAAAGTTAAAAATAATATGCTGGAAGCCAGACATCAGTGATTCATGCCTATAATCCTAGATACTTGGGAGACAGAGGTAGAGGAGATCACGTGTGGTTCCAGGCAACTCTAGAAGAAGTTCACAAGACCTCTGCTTTGCCATGCATAGTGGTACAAGAATCCTAAAATAGGCAGATCACAACCAGGCTGCATACCTAGATAAGAAGCAAGATATCTCAAAAATTACCAGTGTGAATGTCATGTGTGACTCTGAGGTAGGTCCTTGCCTAGCAAGTATGAAGCTCCAAGTTAAGGCTTAGTACAGTGAAAGAAATGATACATTGGAATGGGCAAAACTAGGACCTAGAGATTAAAATGGTACATGATGACGTGCCCATTTGGAGGCTGTGTATGAAGTGTTGACTCTTGCAAGGAAACTTGAGCAAACCATTGTCTTAGAACTGTCTAGTTGGTGAGTTAGCTAAATGTGTGGACATGTCTTGCAACTTAGGTAAAGGACCACAGGTTCTATTTGGAAGGGGTGTTACCTCCTCAGAGATGACAACTGACCCCTTTTCCTAGCATGGAAAGAGTGACAGAAGTTGTAGGAAGAGAAAAAGTGTTGGTTTCCTTGTACATGAAAAATAAGCTGTTTCAACCACCCATCCCTCTTGTTGCAATCTGTTGCCAGGAAATGACTGAATGTGACTGTCTTGACCCCACTTGCTGTTGGCTGAGATCTAATAAGTGGCTCTTTCATGAAAATGATGTTTGTGCTTGCTTTAGTATATCCACTGGGATTAGTCAGAGCCACTACAAGCATTACAGGAGTAAGGGATTTAATATGGAAATTAGGGTTTATACTGATGTAGGAAAGTGTTAGCACTAGTGAATCAAGAGAGTCTCCCAAGATGGAGCTGGGACAGATGAAGAAACAACCTGACAAGGAAGGCCATGGAAGTGACTCCACTGTTTCCAAGATGGCCCTGCAGTACAGGTCTCTATGGAGATCTTTGAAGCCATATGTCTGGACCAGCCCCCAGGACTTGAGCATAATGAGTTCTGTGGCACATCTGCTTTCCAGATCTCATGTGGAGTCCTTTCATTGGCACCTTTGCCTCTGGATGCACAGTAAGAAGAGGACTGTGGAAAATGTCCAAGAATCAGGTCCAAGCCAGGCAAGAGTTTCCAGGATGGACGCTGAACCCTCCAAACCCTAGGGTTCCTGTTAGGTAGGAAATTGGATTTTTTTAATGTATTTAATGAGAAAAGAAAATTTCATTTTTGAACTTTAATTCTCATTCCATTCTATAGCCAGAATTCATTTTATTTTCAAAACTGGAGATACTCTTTTATAAAGTTAATTATTTGGACCATCTGTGTGGGCCCAGTCTGTGCTCTAGGACAACATAGCTTTCAAAGTACTTGTACTGTGTTGAGCCCAATAAAACCTCCTGCCCACTAAGACCCAGGGAGATACATACAGTGACATTGGATGAGGAGGCTAAGCAACTTCAAGGTCAGTGGCTGCCTCCTCCCCAGACAGAAATGGCCAGTACATCGGCCATAGGTTTGCCTCTCAAGTCAGATGAATTAGAAAAGAAAAAGTGTAGAAGGCCTCTGAGCCCCTCTCCCTAGTTTCTCCTTCCTGCTTAATTCACTGGAGTGAATTAACTAGGCAAGGCCAATCGAGTGAAAATATCAGTTGGACCATGTAGACCCAGAACAGAGCTTCCAGAAGGATTAATCCACCTTAGAGAAGTGATTTTAACCCAATGACTTCCCTACTCTCTCTTGCCTTCTCTCTCTCTCCTTCCCCCATTCTCTCCTCTCCATTGCTCTGCACTGCTGCCTACACTCCCATCCCTTGATGTTAAGACAAGACTGTTCATGCTCTTTGGAGAGAGTAGGGTAGCCAAGCATCTTCAGAGTGTAATTCTGAGTCTCCCCATTTGGAAGGTCTGAAGGTTGAGAAAGAAGATGTGACAGGAGACCTTCATTTTGGTTTTAATTAATAGCCATATTTTTTCTCACCAGTCTTTACTGAAGAAAGCTATTCTTTGAGA